TACAACAAACTCTCCTCTGAAACTTTCACTGCAGTAGGCCCTCCACTTGAATTCTTCCCGCAACACGTCCTCTGGAGCCTTTTTTTTGTAGCGAGGCTTACCTCTAGAGATTTTTTTCTGCAGGTCATACTCTGCTGCTTTTCCTATTGATTGTCTATTTCCCAGTAAACTCCCCTGCAACATTACCTGTAGGAGTCTTCCGTTTACATACAAACATTGCAGTTCCACAATCACAATTTTTTGCTTCTTTGCAAACTCCCCTGCAACATTACCTTAGGAGCTTTTCGTTTATCTATAGACACTGCAGGAACTGCAATCGTTGTTGCCTACTTCCTTGCAAACTTCTCTGCAACATTACATGTAAGAGCCTTCCTCCTACCTACAGACAATGCAGAAATCGCAGTTAAAGACAACCGCAATATGGGACAAAGACTTCAAGTTCCATCTCTCAGGATCTTTCTCGCTCATTGTTTGGTGTTTTTAAATCCAAGTTGAACATGATTTTTAACCATGTTTCATCTGGCGGGGGAGAATTAGGAGTTATAATAGGAAATAATTTTTTCCTGTGAAAAATTATGTGGAATAAATTATTTTCTTGGATTAAAGAGTTATTTCGTTTCCTTTTTTATGCTTTCCTATTTTATTTTATTTCCTTTTTCCAAATAATTAATATGATTTGATTATTGGAGATATTATGTGAGATATCTTTTCTTTTCATGTTATTTCTTTTTATTATCTTTTCTATTCTAGGATTCATGTAACGGTTATTTATTACCCTCTTTCATATCAATGAAAAATTCTGAATTTTGCTTTATTCCGCATTAATCTGAATTTCAACATATACCGTCCATCTTTCATATTACATAAAAATACCACAAATTTAAATTTTCAAAAGTAAAATACATTTTTTCATTCATAAGGTAAGATGCCGTATATCAAAAGTAAAATACATGTTTTGGAGTTTAGGTGTTAGATATGTAAAATTGAAAATAAATGGGAATTAAGTGGTATGCATGTAAATCTTTCTTTTTTTTTTGTTAGCTTTAGATCATACGTTTACTTTCTCAATTTTCATGCAGAAACAATCAGAACTCCTTTTAAATGCCGAGGACTTGGATGCTATGTGGGTTTGCTTACGAGAAAACTGTGTGATCGATGATGCTACTGGTGCGGAGAAGGTGTGATATTATTTAGTGTTTCATGCTTGCTTATTACAATTTCTACTGTTTATGCCTCTTTAGTTTGTGAAGTGCAGTTTCTGACGTGGTTTAGTTTGTATATATGCAACAACAAATTGAGCAAAATAATTTGGGCATGGTATATGAAAAGAAAAGCAAAGGCTGAGATGTAAAGGGGTGAGCCCAAGTTGACAGAGTATTGTAAGATTTCAGAATGATATAGTTTAGAATTATCATTAAGGACTTGTCTGATATAATGCCAATAAGCACTTTTGTTCTCTGTTGAAAACGAGTGAAAGAACTCCCTGCTGGTCCCAGGCATTACCTATATGTCTTAATGATAATGGCGAGGGCTCTTGTGAAGTAAACTTCCTTCTCTAAGAGAGTACCAGTGAATTTATTTGGTGTAACACAACGCAGAACTACTAAAAGGGACATTCAAATACATACCATCCAATTCTTATGTATTTACACATCTACCACCTAAACTTTAATTTTTACATTTATTTACCCAAATCTTTCACATCTCATAAAAATTCCACCATTTTGATTTTTAAGAAGTGAAATACATCTTTTCATGCATAGGGAAGATGGCGTGCTTGTAAAATTTGAAGTTTAGGTGTTAGATACATTAATACGTAAGAATTGAGTGATATCTATGTAAATCTTCTTTACTAAGAATGCTGAAATGGACTTGGAGAACAGAAGAAAATGTGAAGTAGCATTAAAAAATTTAGGCTCAAGTAGTTTGGATAAGGTAACGGCCGTTGACATGAAATTTCTTCTAGTTTGGCCATGTTAGCAATTGTTTTGCTGATTCAAGTTTAAAGTTGAGTTTATAATAAGCATGATTCTCACCTGAATTTTTTTATGCAAAGCTTATTTTCTTCTCCCTGAAAAATTTTGGGTTCTTCTGGAAGGCTCTCCACTCAATTTGGAAGGTTTTGTAGGCTTCTTGATCATTTTTTATTCCATGTCAAATTTAAAGCCATGATTGGCATGAAGTAAAAATTCTTCCCTAATAGGTTAAATTGGTTAAACATAATTTGAGTTGAATGAGCTCTAATCTAGGTTGATTTGACATAGGGTTTACCCTAGCAGATTTGCATGGATAAACCTTAGATTGGGTCTTGCTTGGCTTACTGAAATTCAATTGATCTTCATTTGCTCTATATAACTTGGGAAGAAAAAAAAATCATGAATATGCAATGGCTTGCTTAGATGTCAAGCATGGTTAAGATAAACTTTTAAATTAATGATCCCAACAAAAACTCTGCGGGTGAAATATTTATCAAAAAATCAGATTATTTTATTACAGATATAATGCTATCTTGCTCAGAAGATTTTATTTTATCAGTGTAATTTATGATTGAGAGTAGTGGTGTATCCCACAATATAGTTGCTCCACTTAAGATGCTATTGAACATATGATTGATCACATATTAAAACTATTGTGGAATCTATTGAATTTGATTTTTTTATGAACATGGTTGATATCTTGTAGGCCTAGATTAAGATATATTGATAGCACAAGGTGTAGAATTAGTGATCTACTTGCAGCCTAAATCTCTGTGGCAACCCTCTTTGCCCCCACTTTATCTCTCTCTCTCTCTCTTTATATATATATATAGTTATAGTTATAGTTATAGAGAGAGAGAGAGATGCATATTTGCATTTCTAACAATATTTTGAAATCTTTTTGCAAAAATTTAATGGACGAGGCATATTGACAATATTGTAGGATTGATCACATATTAAAACTATTGTGGAATTAATTGAATTTGAATTTTGTTATGATCATGATTGATTTCTTGCAGGCCTAGACTAAGATATATTAATAGCACAGGATGGAGAATTAGCGATCTACTTGTAGGCTAAATCTTTGTGGCAATCCCCTTTGCCCCCACTCTCTCTCTCTCTCTCTCTATATA